CGCCCATTACCTCCCCCACCTCTTCAACTACCATAACCTCCCAAATATTCAATGATTAGTGAGCGATGGTTGAGAAGCTGAAAAGGCAGAGATCATTATCTTACCTTTTTGACTGACAAATGGGAGGGCGGAGGGCAGGGAGGGGAGGATGGACATCAGTTATGTTCCTAGTACAATAACCTCACATCGTGAAGGGAGTAATACCTAAGTGGCTCATATAAGTGCTGCTCAAACACCTTCCTAAACACACAAGCGCATGGGCGGAAACCGCAACCGCTATGCCTTGTTCAGTGGTGAAAATTATTACCGTTCCCTGCAATTTTTAAGGATTCTGACCTTGTATAGCTGTGATGGCTTTTGTGGTTTTCATACTCATCATTTCAGGTATCTAACATTGAAAAATCGTCATCTACAGTCCGTGCAGAATATTTTCATCCTGAATTTGGCTGCCAGTGATGTGCTCATGTGCTTAACGTCGTTGCCGATTACACCGATTACGAACGTCTACAAGACCTGGTTTTTCGCATCACCCGTCTGCAAGCTCATTCCACTTGTGCAGGTTCATTTTCTTCTGCTTCCATTTGTTTATGCGATGTAGCCTATACAATGACTTGCGGTGGCCAGCCGCTCTACAAGTCAAATGCTTTTACTCCTCGAAGGAGTATTCAAAAGGCTCCGAAGGGCCGTCGAAGGAAGCTCCATAGCATCTAGTATTCAATGATGACTGATAAAGTGGTCTACTTCTTTGGGTTGCACTATTTAATGTTGTTTGGCTGATGGTTTAGGAGACGAAATGGCTCATGCAATGACTAACGTGGCTTCATTCCCCTATGAGCTTCAGGATCATTAAGGATGCGTGCCATTAGTTTCCTTAAAGATATAGAAAGCCTCATGTGTGTGATTCTCGATGCTTCATCGGTTAATCACTAGTTTGCCAGAACGATTAAAAAGTAAAAATAAAGGAAATTGAACGATTGAGTCATAAACTCCGCCGACCTACTCCAAGAATCCTGCCATTATTCAGAGTCATTCAAAAGTGCACCAAAACGTCATTGGCTTTTACCGCCTCCACGACTGAGGGGATCCTAAGCTGCTTTGCAGGAAAGTGGTCAAACATCACGTCATCTTTCCCATGCTTCGGCTGATTGAAAGCATTTATTTATCTGCTTCGTTCGTTTCATTCACGGTCACCATCAGAGGGATTCTAAATAGTATTCCGCAAAACCATAGCACTCTAGAAAAATTGAGAAAAAATAGAACGGATCAAGGCAGGGTAAGGGGTCTGAAAAACGTAAACAACCTAAACAAGTGTGCTCCTGTTGAGAAGGTGGCGGGCGCTCGACACGAGCCTTTTTCTACAACGCGCTGTTTGCATATGATTACTGGAGATTGCTGAGGGATTTAGCTCCCGAAGAGCAAATCGAATCTTACCTCTATACCTGCGAAAAGGGAGACCTGAAGCATGAGGGACGGCCCTAATATCTAGAAACTGACAATTATCGAGCCCTCTACCACATTTCCACTAAAAGGTCACTTATATATACCATTTTCACTTTAAATCGGACACTTTTCAAACCAAATCGGACACTTTTCAAATCAAATCGGACACACCCCTTACAATGGGCAGTTGATAACTAGACCACACTAGGTACTGCTGCAAGCCCCGCCCCAACACCCCGCCCACTTCTCAGCGCGGTCACGGTTTTCCAAATGTTTTATGAATTCTGCTTCTTCGACTTTTTTCACTTTTGCTAGTTGCACACACATTTCAACTGAAAAGGATTGGTACCGACACATATATGACTCCGCCCACTTTTCAATGAAGTGACGCAAGTTTTGAATTTTTATAACTTTTTTCGACAACGTTTTTTCACATTCAATCTTCACAAAACGAATATAGCCATGCATTTACACACTAGCACACTAAGCCCCGCCCCTCTGACCACGCCCACTTTCGTTTTTCGCGGAATTTTGATTTTTCTTCCGAATTTTCACTTTTTTAGGCTGTGAGAGCCCGCCCACTACTGGAAGCTCCGCCCATTTTGTAGAAGCTCCGACCACTTTTCAAAAATGATGCAGATCAGCGACTAGT